CCTAGCAAAATCATATATTACCCCTAAATTGTTTTGAAAAAAGTTCCTAAAATTACCCTAAAATTTTAAAAAACTTTGCTGCTTTCATTTCTCAAGAACTGGTTACCCAATTTCTTTCATTTTTCTGCATAAAATTACATTCTTTAAATTGATGCAAATTTTTTTATACCTTACAATTCAAAATGTTTTTGACTTCTATTGTGTGAAATAATAAATAATATTTATGGATAAGTGAATGTTATAATTGTGTGCAAATTTTTGTTTGATTTGCTTAAATTGTTCTCTAGACATGGAAAAATACGCTTGAAGTAAAGTTAACATTAAGAGGTCCGTACGTTGAAAGCTCCATTGAACATATTTTCCACATTGAAGCTACCTCTTATATTTTGGGGATTAGAAATCATAATCTGTTGAAAAAACGCTATGTTTTGATGTTTATTAAAAGAAAGTATGTTTTTGTGTCTGATTTCATAACTTAAATTATTGTCTCCCCTAACTTATTAGCATTTTTCAGGCCTCCTCCTTGAACTATTATGATTGAGGTGTAGCTGGTGTGAATCCAATCAAAAGATTAAAAGTTATTCAGGGTGATACATTTTCTTTTTGCACATTGTTCATACTTAAAATTGTATTAATATAGCACCTGAAATTAAAATATCTAAGTCAGATAAAGGAAAAGAATATCTGGCTTTTCAAATTGGAAATAATCTTGTGTTTGTTATTTTATTTTATTAAATAAATTTACAGATGAAATCGTACATCAAACTTTGTTTTTAAAACCCATGTTATTTCCTTTATGCTATTAGTTTTTATATGAATTTAATAATTATATAATATTTAGGGTCATCAAATGTGTGCACGGTTTTACTGAATTTTTTGCATTCTGGTTTAGTTAAATTTGGAACAGGATTAATACTTTTGCTGGAACAGTGGTAGAAAGTGGGAAAGATATGAGGAGATGAACTTAGTGCTCAAAATTATGTTTATGTATTATAGTACTTATCTTAGATGACCAGTTTAATCTCTTTTAAGGGCACCATATTTTGTGTTATCTGAAACTGAAAAATGAAACGAATTTGTTCAGTATATATTCAAACAAAAGCCAATTGCATAGTCTTTAGCATTGATTCCTTAATTTAAAATTTTTTATTGTTTAATTGCTGAATTTCTTTTTTCTTTTATTCATTCCAAAAACAAAAAAAATCTTATTGTATTTTAACTAAAATAAAATCCTTCTGATAAGAGTATTTTTTAGTCTTTATTACCCACCAACAATTTCTGAAATAAAATAATAAAATTACTTCATAATGATTCCACTGTTTCCAACCAACTATGCTTACTTATCCTATATGTGCTATTCATTGTTTTCTATCCATTCTTAATAGTTTTAAAAGTGAAACAGCGGAAGATTTGTTGAACTATGTAATGAATGATTGAAATAATTCCAGAGATATGCTGTCTTAATTTAGACATTAATACCCTACCACCTTTTACAAAGAGTGAGTTTACACCATTCCAATGAAAATATCAATAAATGACTAATATTTCATGTAATCTTCGATAATTGACAATTACATTTTGATAATTAAATAGTGAAACTCAAGTTGGCAATGTTTTTAGGGGCATATATTTATTTTTAGACAAAATAAGATCTGGATTAGTAATAAAAATAGATGTTTATGGTAATTTTCAGCTTTTTATATCAGAAATTTCCCATGCTTTGAAAGGCCTATTATAGAACTGAATAAGACTCTTTGCATGATTTTATATCTTGATTTTTAAATTTTTTTATGAAATGCATTATTGTAATAAATTTATTAAAGAATAAAATTAGGGTGTGAGAGGAGCAGGTGACAACTACATATTTCTTAAATTTTCCTGATATAATGTAGTGCTTTTAAAAAGCAAAAGAATGTAAATTTTGTTGAATAACAGTAGTTCAAGGAAAAGTATTCCTGATCTTGTGTAAGTCCTCCTCCCCCCCTCTCAGGAAAAATGGGTAGGTATGTTATTGTAACTAAGTTTTAAAAGTGTTCTAAAATTTTCGTAAGAATGTGAGTTGTAAGTTAAATAAATATTAGTTTTTATATTAAAAAAAAATTCCTTATTTTTTTTTATTTCTTGGAGTGAAAAAAAAACAAAGGCACTTTTAGAGATTTGATTCTTAGAGCAGGGAGTTAATAATTTTCTGCAATCTATCGATGTAATAATAGTTAATTTTTTATAATGAAATCTTTTCCCCGTAATTTTAGTACCTAACTTGCAAACTACCTGTATATTTAAAATATTTTTTTTTTTTTTAAATCTCATTTCAGCTTATGTTTCTCAATCTTCATGATAGTTGATTATTAAGATGCTGCTAAACACATGTTAAATGGAATTGTAGAAAGATTTTTCATTCTTTTTCATGTAATCTTTTTCAATAAATGTGAAAATGTTTCTTTTTATTTAATGTCTTGATTTTCTCAATCATACAAACTTTTTGTCGAAAAATATGCCTATCAATCATACTTGCCTACACTTTGAAGTTATGCCTGCAAAAAATCAGGGTTAAATTTAAGTCATTATTAAAATCTCGCTTTATGTCACTTAATTTTTTTTAAAAATAAAAATCCCTGATTTAAATAAACTATGATTTTTTTTTTTAAAAAAAGAAATCATTTATTTAAACCAATAAACTCTTTTTAAAATAAATCATTAACTCTGAGAATTTTTTATATAATATTACTTATCTTTTCTTTAGGTTGAGATTTTTTTAATGTCTAATTTCATTGATAACAAAGGTTTATTCAAAGAAATAATGGTGTAAATTATATTTTGAAATAGACTAATAAAAAAAAAGACTAAAAGTTTAAAAAAATAGTGTGAAATTATTAAATAATTTTGAATTAATTGTATGTAAAATAATTTGCTAGTAATAAACATATTTCAATTATATCTACTTAGTTTATTCAAATACAAGTGTTTTAAAACATATTAAATATTTAATTAGTTTATATCAATAATGAAGAAAGACTTGTTCTGCTCAGAGAAACT